CGCCCCCATCCCGACCGTACCGCCGTCCCCGTGGGCGGAAAACCCATGAACGGCCCCCGTGAACGGTCGTTCACGGATTTTAGGCCGGTGACCGGCCGGTCACGGACAGGTGACCGTTGCCGGTCACGTTCACGGGGCCGGCACTGGTCTGATCCCGCTCTACTTACAGAAGACGAATCCGTAAAAGTAATGAAAAAGCTGGGGCCGCTCCAGTCGGGCCGTAAAAGAAAATGGGGACCCCACTGGCCCGTTTCGTTCGCAGCTTTGACGTGGGTTTAGGCGGTTTTTGATGGGCGGGTTGATTTTGGGGTTGGAAAACGGTCCACTTGCACGGACACTACCGGGACCTCCTACGTCGTGCGACACAGCAAACCTAACCACGGACAAACCAGCCCACCGAAACGGACACATACAATTTCACGAAAAAAGAAAAGAAAAGTGCCCCTTATTTTTTGCGGCAGGGTACGGGCCGAGCTCTCTTGCATTTTCCCTTCAGCTCCTTCGGCGCCGTTCATTCCCTGCCCGCCACGACTACAAATGTTTCCACTCTCCTCCGAAGCTACAGGGACCTCCTACGAAATCGGAATACTGTGGGATGCGCCAAAACGCAGCTTTTTACTAACCGTAAGTACTGAGGGATGAGACGCTTATTATTAGCAGTAGGATAGTGGAAAGAAGTCAATTTACAGGAGTGGGATACAAATATGGTTGGACTTTGTTTTGCTGTTTTATGGTTTATTGTCAGTTGTTCGTAAGACCAACACGGCTCGTTCGGAGACTTCACGGTGACTAAGGGCCTCGCCACACCAAAAAGACAAATGTGGCGGGTGCATCTGGCCATGTTCGAGCCGGAAGTTCATTCTCATTTCGCACATTTGTAGAGCGGTGTGACGATGCCCTAAGGGCATACTCTGATCGCATTTACCACAGGACCTGTCTGGCCGCAATTCCTGTATGCATCCGTGCAGAAATAAGTGAAAAAGTGCTAGTGTGAGTATGCCCTAACAATAAGGGCTATCCTGTAGCCATTGGCAGGGACTCTACCGACTGGTATTCGAACCTGGGTAGGGCTGATTTTTCTGTTGTGATCCTTTCATTGGTAGTTGCTTGCAGGACTATTTGCGCTCAAGCTTCACGTGACTGAAAATACGGACTACCTTCTTACGTTCTTCACGCGAATACAGTAATTATTGCTGTACCTACCTTCTTCAGCCGACTACAGCGTACGGTCATTATTGTATTTAGACTGAAAGCTGCCCCAAATTCAGCTATAATGACTGCACGTTGTATTCCGCTGAAGAAGCTAGACTGAAAGATGCCCCAAATACAGCTATAGACTGATCGTACTCTGTATTCGGTGATGAAGGTAGCACTTTGAGCCCGGGACTTCGCTCCAAGCTTGTAGCGCTATCAGGCCCGAGCGATGTATAGCAGATGCATTGACGTGACTTTGACTTTGCGATAAAATACTGGCGGACGTCAGTCTAGCTCCTCTGCGTGCTTGCAAGAGTAAGACGGAGGCGACGCGCGAGGGAGAGGGCGAGAAGGGAAGGCCCTGGGGGAAGGCGGAGGGTCATGTGTAAGGAGACGAGCTGATGCAACTAGTAGAATTTTCTTTGTTGAAACAGCTATTGTGTTTGGTGTGTGACTACGACCTCTGGGTCGTGTCCAATCTGTGAATGCAGTCCTTCGTGTATGAGAATCTTAGCCTATACCTCTCCTGCCACGTAGTGTGAGAAGAAAACACATTCTGTTATCCAGTGGCCTATCTTGGTTGGTAAGGCACGCAAGTGGCATTTATGAGGTCTTGGGTTCAATTCAGTCCTTTTGGTCAGGACCGATGAGAGTGCGAAGAAGAACCTGTGCGGTTTGATGCGCGGCAAGCTGAACTCGGTTTGAGAGATGGACCCATCGTTTGAGGAGACCAACCCAGAAGTCGGACATGAACCGCCGCTGCCGGCTGTGGGTTCTGTTGCCGTTTTTTTTTCTTTTTTCCTTTTTTGCAGCACACATACTGGTTTCCGGATGTCACCGGCTGACCCCTGGCCGGCATCACCCGCCTGCTGTTGCAGGTATCACACCTGCTGGTGGGTGCAGCTCCCGCATGTTCCCTCTTTGGAGGCTTGAGCATGATGTGGCTGCTACGGGTTCCCCCTAATATATCATGACAATAAAAACGGCCTGTCCAGATTCGACAGGGTAATTGAATTGGTTCGGCCTAAAAGAATAAACCTTTCAACAACAACAACAACAAAAAAAAAATAAAAAAATGCATTCCGTTGCAGCCCAGCCGTCTTAGATATGGTTCTATGCACGTATACTGGTTTCGTGCATTTTGGCAAGCCTAGGACCCGTAGGCATCTGAGTGCTTGGGCTGAAGCACTCACAGGACAGACCAAAGGCAAGTCGTATCAAGGAAGTGGGTTAAGGACCGTCGGACTTCTGGCATAAAAGGCATGCTGTGCAACAACGGGGGAATAACTTAAAGTTGAACTGTACATATAAAATGGTAGGCTTGATTCTAGCTGAGGTGACTGAAAAGATGAAGAGGCTGGGGATTCAGGAACTATGAGAGTATGGGCAAGTGCGGCTTGGGAACTATGAGGCTACGAGGAGGATGGTCAGTGGTGGCTGCCAAGGGGACCGTCTGGGTACTAATGGGAGTCTCCCGATCTTTCGACACGGCCACTTAGACCATCAGTACCTTTTTTTTTTTTAAGTCCAGGGTGTTGTAGAG